ATTTTAGAGTAGCAATATAGGCATATTAACATTGTATAACAAAACTTGATAATACTTAGAGAAACAACCTAATGTTTAAAAATAAACTTTGAAGCCCTATACAACCTACCTTTAATTAGTATTTTAAAATGTATAAAATGTTTTCCTCACAACCTTGTGATACAAGAAACACATGAACTATTATTCTTATTTTGTAGATAAGGAAATTGAGACTTAGAGCTGTAAGCAAATTTCCAAGGGTAACAAAACTAATAAATATGAGAGAGGGAGAGATGGGGGGGGGGGGGAGAGAGAGAGAAAGAGAGAGAGAGAGAGAGAACCCTTGGTACCACCTAACTTTAGTTTTGAAACAACATTCATAGTAATTCTTTTTTCTCCTTTTGTGAAATATTGACTCTTTTCCCTGAAATCCAATAATGTAGTATGATGAATAAGGATTGGCAGAGTGGCAAACTGGACTGTGAAGTTAATCAGAAAAGGAGTATGCTTCTGATACAAGTGTCAGACAAAGTAAAACTCTGAGTAATATTCACATCAGGGAAAAACAATCTTATGAATTATTTCTGTTTAAAGTTCCATTTCCAAAGTCAGTTGTTTACGTAACAGCTTCTACCTTGATCACATCCATAAGAAAATGAAAGTATACACTCATTTTACAGTTATGTTTAAAAGTCCTTCTATTTCATAATAAGAAACCAGATTTATAAGACATAATCGGAATTAGCTTTTATTAAGCAATCAGCCTTGAGAATATAGCTATAACCATAACTTGTTCTGGAAATTAATGCATTTTCTAATTTCTCTTCTGGAAAATGAGAGAGACAATAAAACACAACTGTATAGTGGCTAGAGTACTAGTACCAGGTTCAATTTCTGGCTTTGTTTATATAAATAGTAAGATCCTCTCTCTGTGCTTCAGTTTCCTCATTTATAAAATGTAGGTAATTACGCCTCATTATCTATTTCATAGAATTATTGGGAGAAAAGCACTTCATAAATCTTAAAAGTGCTATAGGCAAGTGGGAATTAAAATTTGCTCTGGCTTTAATAAATATTTAAATATCAGTTATTTCAATAATTCTCTTTGTTGTTGTTGTTAAATCCTACCTATCACTTTCAATTCAATTCAAAAGCCACAACCTCCAAAACACCTTTCCTCATCTTACCCTCTCATCTATAATGGCACATGTCCTTTCCCCTCACACCTTACAGATCCGTTTCTTTTGTACAGCTGGTATTTTATCTCCTATACTGCAAACCTCTTGAAGGCAAAGACCCGGTCTCATCTGAACTTTGTTATCTCCTTCAGCGCTTGCAGTTTGTTATATTATTATGATACTTTCAGGAGCTGTAATTTCATCCAGGTGGGTACTTAAAACATGCACAGAAATCACAACCCGTAAGCACCTTACTCTTAGAGTTTCCATGGCTGAAAAACTTCATCACCTGGTGTCCGACCCTCCTAATGACCCTCATTAGTTACAGCTAAGCCTGCTAAGGTCTGCCAGGACTTAATGCTACTTGATGGTATTGCCTGTGAAAACTCTGGCTTGCCTCCATGTAACAAGGACATGATTGCAGGAAATACCATGCAAATATTCCCAAATTAAAGTTAATATTTCTACAATCATGATGTTGAAAATACTTTGTAAGCATAATCTACCAGTTTCAAAAGTCATTACTGCATAACCATGGGTAGAAATGAACCAAATGTATTTATCACTGAGTTGGAAAACTCAGAAACTTGAAGTTAAAATTCTAGCTGGGTCATTCTGCCTCACCAATGCTCACAATATCCTTGAAAAGCAGTAGATGATCATTTTTGCTATTTTTCAAGTGGAAAAATTGAGGCTCAGAAAGGGCAAGCCATTTTCCCAGGGTGATTCACAAAGTCAATCTCAAAGGAAGGGTTATACAACCAATCCTTCTACATCCCAGATCAGAAACGTATCTACCAAACCAGGCTGCTTGCCCATTTTCTCCCCAATATTTCCTTATGCTTTCACTCCTCTCCCCCCTCCCAAAAAATGAAAAAGTTTGGGTAAAGTTTTTTGTAATTCAGGTTAAGTTACTGGGTTCCTAACTGGTCAAGAGTTGGAGAGGCTTACTCTGGGTCTACTGCCCCAAATACCCTGGTCTCCCTACTCTATAAATATGTTACCCCTATATTATTGCTGGTGGAAGTGTTTTTATTTGACAGTTCAAATATCTAGTCAAAACTGTTGCTTCCCATCTCTGTGACTACTTGATTTGACTAGTTTCAATGCTATTTGATTATATCTCTTTGGAAAGTCTTCCACTCAAAGCCGAGGTCCTCAGACTCCTGCTCATTTTTTTTTTCGTCCATAGTAGAAATACCATTCACAGTTGCAAATTAGCAATTCAGAAGTCTTAAAAGAATTACCTGGGACACAAATTATTGTCTAACAGCTAATGTCCAAGAAGTCTTTTTTTTTTTTTTAACTCTAAGGCTGGCTTTAATTCTTCCAGTATGGTGCCA